CCCCCCCCCACATAAACACACAATCAAGTAAAATAACTCAGCACTTACACACACCCCACTTGGGGGAGCACATAGGTCATGAAGTCGGTGGGACTGCGATGACATGGCACGGACCGCGTGGCGCTCTCTCGGTTTGCCATCTTTCTGCACATCCTTTTTCTGACCTCCTCCCTCCCTCCCTCCCTTCCTCTCTCCCTCCCTCCCTCACGCGGCAGGCGTCGTGCCTCGAGCGAGAGAAGTGATGGAATCAACTCAGAACGGCACGTTGACTCTACACACAAACACACAAAGGGCACAGAGGAATAATCCCCGCGCGTAAAGGGAATAGGGAATTTTAGAACGACGCCACGACTGGATTCACAGTGTATCTACTATTGAGCTCAAAAAGGCCGAATAAATTTTGGATTGGAGCACATCAGGCGGAGATAGATACTTTGCCAATACAGTGGAACTGTCCACGTTACAGTGTGCACGGTAAAAAACAATGTCTTATGTTTTGAGGAAAAGGGGAAAACTTTGAGGAACTCCCATGTTTGAGGAAGAGTCTTCCGATCTCGCCTCAGATTTTGAGGAATATTCACATAGAATTAGGGAAAACCCCACGTTCTTTGCGGAGACTTCCTCGAAATCTGAGGAATTTGTCAAACCAGGGAAGTTCCCCAAAGTTTTCCCTTTTCCCTCAAAACAATGAGACATTATTTTCACAGATTGAGTGTGGTGTGTGCTTTGGTAAGTATGGCGAAGCAAACACACTCCTACATCAAAATGCCTGGAAGTGTGATTAACAAAGCATCCGAAATACACGACACGCACGCATGCTTCCACAGGTTCGTTGGTCACATCCAGAAAATGCGAGAAAATGTGTTCTTTGAATCAACCGAATTCCTTTGACAAGTAGCTAGGTCATGTTCTCCAAAATTCAAAATCGGAGATTCATAGTTGTGAGGATTAGGTTGCCGTAAGTATTACCTGTAAGTTTCAAAATCAAGTGGTATTTACTGTTACTCCTTTTCCGTGCTACCGCTCCAACACGACTGCAAGAAAAGTGCGCCTGCCCGGCGAGGGTGGGTGTGGAGGAGTGCTGGCGGGCGAGAGGTGGTGAGATAGAGTGAGGTCGTAGTGCGGGGTGAGGGGGAGGAGGGAGGGTGAGAGGTGGTGAGGGCATCCGGCCGAGCTGGGCGTTTTATATCAGGATTGAGTGGAGCCCGGTTGGAATTGGGGGAGGGGGTGGGGGGTTGGTCCAGATGAGAACACTCCCTTTCCCTTCCCCGAGCTGTGAGTATATTAGCGGCCCGACCTAGGCTAGAGGAGGAAGGAAGTGGAGGGGCAGGATGGGGGAGAGGGGGGCACGCCGTACACTCTGCAAATGAATGAATGCGTGCGACACGGCCGACCTTGCCGCCTGCCGTTGCTTTAATTAAGGTGAAAGCAGCCTTGAGTAGGGCCAGGAAAGAAAAAGAAAGAGTGGCTGTATTTTCGTTTAGCGACTCGTGCTGCTTCTGAATCGTGTGAGGGGCAAAGTGGACTCGTGGAGCGCCTGGTAGGTAGGCAGACGGCGCGCTTCGACGCAGCGGAGCGTCTGCATTGCCTACCTGCCAGGCGTTTTGCTCCGCCCAGCGACAGAAGCGCGACACCGTCGCGTCGCCTCCTTGCGCTGTGAAAAATAGTTTTAGGTTTTTACCATGCATTCAATCCAATCACAATTCAAAGTTGTAAAATTACAAGGGCTATATGTATTGGATCGGTATTCATCAACGGACAAGATTTAACTGTCGTAAATTTATAACACATTTTGAATTTATTAGTTTAAAATAAAAGCTAGCTGACACCTTAAAGTTACTTATACATTCTTTGTTTTTAAGGTATCATCTGCTAAAAATGTTGTACATTTACGAGGGTACTTTGTGCTCCCTCCAGGGCGCGGTGGGGCGGAAGGACTCGCTCCGGCCGCTGGCCAGCGAGGTGTCCACGTCGAGGGACTCGGGCTGCCCGGCGGACGAGCCCCTCATCAGCACGTGCACCTCGCCCGCGCACTACGGGGCCTCCGCGCCGGCGCGCAAGCTCGCCTACCCGTTCCACCTCGTGCTGCGCCTCAGGGTGCTGCAGGTAAGAGAACAACCCCGCCGACGTTTCAATAATTATTTGCCCCCATGCGGGAAAAAATTATCATGATGTGATTTTGCTAACATTGCTTCGCCAATTATTATTGAAAATAAAGCATGTTGAAGCTGTCGAGCAGCAGGTGACAGAAAAGGAAAGTCATCCATTACAACTAGCTTGCCTACATAATAGCACCACCTATAACGAACTGGCTTTACAAAATTCGTGCTGTGCTCTTATGAAAAATATATAAGACCTGTAAGGATTTTTGGGCGCACTAGCCCGACTGGTATTGTGCAGCCGATTCTTCCTGCTGTTAACAGCAAGTTTGATGGCGAATTTTATTTCGCAGCTCGGAGGCCCCGACGGCCGTTTTATACGCGCGCGGTGACGTTTCGAGTTCGATAGCTCGCAGAACTTAGTTAGAGATTCCGATCGATATATTCAGATCGGCCGACCCCCATCCACCCCTCGCCCTGATTTTCGCCGTCGTTAATTCGTTCTCTCCCTTGCCACCACCACCAGCACGAGCAGCACCACCACCGAGTTTTTTTCTTCCCCGCGCTACATTACGACGAAGCCACTTTCCTCTCAGGGGCTCCGCCCGAGTCCACCCCACTACTTTTTCAGCTACTCGCTGTCGCAATGTCCAGTCTTCGTTTTATCATAATTCATTCTTTGCATTAGTAGAGGACTGTGAGTTTACAAGTGAGAAATGCAAATAGAAAAACTTATTCCCCCGCGAGTCATTTCCACTCTACCTGTGACCGAGTGTGAGATAAATGCGATGCAACGTGGCAGCACATCTATTCGCGACCGCGATAACAAACATCGACACCACCGTGCCCTGGTTCGGTGTCGTCCCCCCCCCCCCCACTCCTCGTCTACGGTGGAAGATAAACGCGGCTCGCTACCTGGCCCCGTGAGTGCGAGCCGGGCGGGCGGGTCGCAGCGCGCCTGCGCTCCAACATTGTGTGCGAACGCGTCGACAATGTCAGCCCGACTGTTATGAGGGGTCGGGGACACCGAATGTTGAGTTATCTCTGGCTGTTACTGCTGTCAGGAGCACGGCAATATGGTGCTCATGCGAGAGAGACGACATGCAAGGGGGTGAGAGGGGTGCACAGTGAAAGAGAGATGACTCCGAGTGGCTATGGGAGCTGCCACCCCTCACCTACCAATCCCACCACCCCCCTCCCTCTGTATCTGTCTCTCTAACTCTGTCTCCGCCCCTCACGCAAAGCATGGAAGGGGGTGGGGGTGGGGGTGGGA